CTTAAAATTAAGAGAACAAGGAAAAACCTTAAATAAGCATTTACATTCATTCAAGAAATGCAAGTGCAATTTGTTTTTTGAGTTTCATGTGCAAATTTTCAGTATCTTTAATAATAAAAAGGCATGTTTGTGTGTATGCGATCGCCATAGATCCAAGAGGAAAGAACCTAGAAACCTGAAATTTTGCACACATACTAAGTAGACCTTCAGGGTGTGCACCTGGGTGTTATTACTTATCTACGTGCATGTGCATGCACATCTTTTTATGAGGCAAGCTAGCAAAAAATCACATAGAAAAGAAGTGGTTCCTAATATTACAAATAAAAATCACAGACACGCACATGCATGTTTTTGTATGTGTGACTGCCATAGATCCAAGAGGAAAAAACCTAAAAACCAGAAATTTTGCACCCATACTAAGTGGACCATGAGGGTGTGCAACTGGGCATTATTTACATATTCATGTGTGTGTGCTAGCATGCTCATCTTTTTAATGAGGCCAATTAGCAAAAAACCACATAGAAAAGAAGTGGTTCCTTATATTACAAATAGAAATCACAGACAGACTTACACGTGCGCGTGTGCACATGCATATCTGTGTATACATAGCTCCAAGAGGAAAAAACCAGAAAATTTGCACCCATACTAAGTGGACCCTGAGGGTGTGCAACTGGGTATTACTTACTTATCCACATCTTTTTAATGAGGCAAGCTGGAGGAAAACCACATAGAAAAGAAGTGGTTTCTTACAGAACAACTCATAATATATGGAAAAGCCAGTGCATTTTGGTAACAGTGCATTCCAACAATGGCTTTCATGTTATGCTAATCTTAGTAACAAAAGTATATAGATTATACTTTTATGCTAAAATGGTTCATAATATACACACTATCAACCTAATAACCCAAGCGAAGCTGGGTACTTTTGCTAGTATATAAGTAAAGTTAGTACTGATACACCATACCTGTGTTTAATAACTTCAGAAATAGGTTTATTACAAGGAAAGTTTAAAAATATTACAAATATTACTACCAAGTTATGGCATGAAGTACTTGTGTATTTTCCTATTTATTTCTATATACCTATTTTTTGCTGTATTCTATATTTTTCCTATATTTTATTAAAATTTGTATTTGCCTAAATTTACAAAATTGGGTAAGCAAAAAATACAAATATGCAAAGTAAAGGACACACTTAATGTAAACATTTTCCAGAAAAAAATGTTACAAAATTATGTCTTCATATTTCTGCACTTTTTCTCAATATATTTGTACTTTTTTCAAGTGTGGTGCTCCTGCCCAGCCACTAACAGCCTCGGTTGTTGGATATGACATGTGAATTCATTCAGATTAAGGAAACCATTGTTCTCACCTTTTAATGGACTGCATAGGGTTTTTTTTTGGGGGGGGGGAGAAAAACTCAAAACGTGATTCTGATAATAAATTCATCAGCATGAGGAAATGCAATGTTAAGTACTATTATGGTAATAACAGAAACATTTGACAATTTTGGAGGACGGAAAGTTCAGAATATTTATGCTGTGTAAATGTTAACTAAAAAGAGACTTATTTTCAGTACTACATTCATTGTATTTCTATTGTTAAATTTTTGTTGTTATGAATACATCTAGTCATTGTTTTAGGTGGTAAAGATAAAAGTATTAATTTTGTTAAGTAAAATTGAG